TTTAATATGCTTAATTTGAATATAGCAAGGATGTAGAATAAAAATAAGGGATATATGTATTTATTTATTTATTTACTGAGGCAGGGTCTCCCTGTAGTTCAGTTCAGGCTGTCCTTGACCTCCTTGATTAGAGGCCTGTTGTACTAGACCTGGCCAATAAAGGTTTGGGGTTTTTTTTTTGTCTTTTTTGAGATGGCGTCTCACGATGCAGTGAGGCTAGCCTTGAGCTCACTTTGTAGCCCAGGCTGGTCTCGAACTTGCAAGGATCCTCCCACCTCAGCCGCTTGAGTGCTGGGATTACAGGCATGAGCCACCACGCCCGGCTCAATAAAGGTATTTTAGAGAAAGTACAATTTGAGAGAAGTTACTAAATTCTGAGTGTTTTCCTTAGAGCCAAAGGATTTGAGAGGCAAGAAAGAATGGTGAGCATGGGGTGTGGTAGTGCACTCTCTAGTACTCTTGAAGACTAAGGCAGGGGGATCACTGAGCTTAAGACCACCCTGAACTATATAACAAGATCCTGTCTGAAAAACTAAAAAAAAAAAAAAAAGGAATCAAAATGTTCAGTAATTATGTAAAATGTAAGTGTTGTCATATAGAACTAAACTTTTAATGTATTAGGCACTGACATTTATACTCAGGTTTTCCAATAGATATGGTATATCCTTTTTTAAAAAGTTGTGTGTGTGTATATGTAAATGGATATTTTGGCAGGGGTTCCTGGGGCTAGAGTGGGACCTTAAGTATATAAGACAAGTACCCTGCTTACCACTGAACTGTTAACCCCATCCCAAGCTTTGTAATTTTTTTGACTCTAATGTAAAGTGGCATTTTAATACAATGGTTTATAAGGAAAAGAATTCTGGTCTGGATAATTTAGCTTATCATGTTCCCTTCCAGCCCATATCTATATAAATTTGCAGTTGTAATAATCTGTGAATTGTAATCATTTTGTGTAGTAAATGTAGCTTCTGAAGTTAGGGCCACTTGAGTTTGACCCTTGACTTTTAAAGTCTCTCTCTCTCTTTTTTGGGGGGAGGGGGACTTTACAGTCTTGTCTGTTTCCCTCTCCCCCATTCCCTCTTTGTGCAAGCTAAGCACATTCCCTGTGAAGGAGCTGCATCCCCAGTTTTCTTTCTGTATCTCAAAATGGGTAATCTGCAGGGTAGCTATACTGGTATTAATATGTGTTGTTTGACAGTAGTGCCTAGCCTACAGAATTGCCTAGCATATGCTTTTGTCATTATGGTGGTTCTGGATTTTCCCCCTTCGTTCTGTGAAAGCATTTTTAAAATTTGGTATTTATTGATCCTAAAGTACACATTTTAACTTTTCTGAAAATTAGGATACATTCTAAAATACTTGATGTGTCACCATTTAATAAGCAGCCTTTTTTCTTTGTGATACGCGTATCGTTTCACATTTTATAAAATGTGATATTATAACTTTGAATAGCTGTAAGTAATCTAGTGAGTATATCACAATTTCTTACTTGCCTGACTTTGGTTTATTCCCATTTATGGACTTTTACAAATGCTCCTAATATGTGGGAGTATGAGTTTCATTATTTTGTACAGTCTCCAGTGAAGGATATTTGCTAGACTTGGGGATTATATTTAGATGCATGCTAATCTAAGAAGTAAAAATGGTACTTCTAATTTTCCTGTTGTCTGTTTACCTTTTTCTTGATTTTCATTTTTTCAGTTTTTTGTTGCAATTTTCTAGTCATGTAATGTGATTTTTGCCCCCCTTTTTAAAATTAGTTTTTGTCTCTCCCTTATTCATCAAAAAATTATTTAATTTTTTAAAAAAATATATATTAACCAATAAAAAATGCTCCTGGATCTGTAGGGAAAAAGAAATCCTTTACAACTATTGGTTAGAGAGTAGACTAGTACAAACACTGTGGAAATCAGTGTGGAGATGCCTCAAAAAATTAGGATTAGAGGTCCCGTTCAACCCAGGTATTCCCCTTCTGTGTATCTTCCCAGAAGGATTGAAAAACATCACACCACAGTGACATATGTGAAACCATAAGGTTCAAAATATACAATAGTCACTGTGAAATGGGAGGAAACTGTTCAATAAAAAGAAGAAACTAAGATAGGGGAAAAGAGAAAGGATAGAAGGGAAAAGAAAAAAATGCAAGTTAGTTATACCATTAGTGTCACTTAGTTCATTGAATAGGAAAGGTTGTGCTAATATTGATTGAAGAAATTTTTATGCCCATATTTTGTACTTGAGTGACTAAAGATAATGATGTGTAATTTATCAACAATTGTTACTTTTTCATTATTTGGTTGTGAAAATTTGTTTTACCTTTTCTTCTTAATATTAACTAATAAAATAATTTTTAAAAATTAGTTTTTGCATTTCACTTTTGAAAGTGGAAGTGAGACAGGAAGAGAGTTGCTTTCCTTTCAGAACTAACATGCTGCATGAAAAGATTACAGAAGCTGGGTGTTTGGTTCCCACTGATCACAACATGAGTGAGTGAGGCAGGAAATGTGCAGTCAAGGCCTCAGCCTGGACAATTTGGTGGGACCTTTTCTCACAAATAAAATGAAAAGAAATGGGGATGTAGCTCAGTGGTTGGTGCTTTACTTAGTATGCCTGAAGCTGTGGGTTTATTTCCCAGCACTGTGGGGAAGGGGGCAAGAATAACAAAAAAAAAGACCCAAAATGCTTTATCTCAAGTACTATTGATATAGTAGTAGGGAGCAAGATATGGAGTGTTTATACTGAGCCTTAACTGCTTCTCCAGCACTGATGTAATTGTTAAAATAAGAAATTCTTAGGCAGGCATGGTGGCTCCCAGCAAGGGAGGCTGAGGCAGGAGGATTGTTGACCGTTTGAGACTAGCCTGGGCTACAAAGTGAGCTCAAGGCCAGCCTGAACTGCATAGCGAGACCCTGTCTCAAAAAGACAAAAAGAAAAAAGAAAAGAAATTCTTCAGGTTACAATTTAGGCACAGGTGAATTAAATTTTCTCAACTGTTTTAAATTCACGTGTTATTTCTAGAGCCTCAATCATTGTGTTTAAACAATAATTGAAAAAAAAAATTTTGTTTTACTAAAACACCATATATCAGTCCTCTGGGCTAAGAGTATTATTTCTGGATATATTACTCTTTCATTGTATGTTTCTCAGTTACAGATTTTATTCATTAAATGAATATTGTAATTTTTTAAATCAATATTCAGAAGTTTGATCTCTTTTCCTAAGAACCATGTTTCTAGGGTCATGTGTTTTCTTGGGCAGAGACATAACTTGTATTGTCAGAATTGGAAAGAGAAGGAAGATTATGTATGTAAAATACATAAATATTCTTATTAATTAAAAATCTTGTGAGGAGCTGGCACAATCATACATGCCTATACCCCAACAGTCAGGAAAGCTGAGGCAGAAGGACCATGAGTTCAATTCCAGCCTGGATAACTTACAGACTTTCTAATCCTGGAAATTCTGAACAGTGTAAGTGATAAAACACCCCTACAGCCATCATCATTGGAGACTTTTAGCTCTTATCCTTGAGATATGAGTGAACCTGAACATGGGAGATGGTGTTATATCTGGTCTTTTTCCCAGATTATCAGAACTTTTCAGTTGATATGAGGAAGCAGTTGCAGTAGAGTATAATTAAACTTTTCTTTCTTTCTTGTCTTTTGGAGACAGTTTCACTATGTAGTTCAGGCTGGTCTTGAACTCATCTTGTATCCTAGACTGGCCTCAAATGCTCAAAGCATTCCTCCTGCCTCAGCCTCCTGAGTTCTGGGATTACAGGCATGGACCATTCCTCCTGGTCCTCAGAAGTGAATCTTAAATGAGCAACTTTGTTTAGGGGTTCTGCAGTTCTACCTACCCAGTTTTACCTTGATTAAACATACTTAGGTGTTGGTGATACCTTAAAGGCTGAATTTGTTTTGTTTTTAACCTGTAATTTAGTGTCACTTGTAAGAACCTCTTCAGAAAGGAAGTTTTGACAACCTTCTAATAAATAGTTTGCTGTGCAACAGTTATTTTTCATAAAAGCTGAATTTCCAGTATCTTGTTACAAACGAGTTAATTGCCTGCTCTTTTCACCTACCCTCTTATTCCTACCACGGAGGGAGCGGGGCGCTGTGGCTGAAAAAGAAAGTCAAAAGTAACTATAGAGAGGGATAAACTTTTCATAACATTATTAATGTACTTGAAAAGGACTAAGTTATATTGTTTGGTCACAAGAGGTGAGAGAAGAGTGTACGTACATCCCAACATTTCTCCTTCCTTCCTTCCTTCCTTCGTGTCATCTTTTCATATTTTTTTCCTTACATACTCAATCCTCTTGCATAATTCCTGCTTTCATCTTCGTGTTTTTATGATTAGGTAATGCATGGAAAAGGTCACTTTAAACAGAAATATTCATAATTATATTATGGGCAATCAAAGTATACACTTTGTACCAAAAAAAGTACAAATCACCTTTTCTGTGACAGTTGGGGTGAACGCAAATGTACTCTACCGCTAAGCTATATTCTCACCCATTTTTATTTTGTATTTTGAAATGTATTTTCTTTAGTTGTCTGGGCTGTCCTCAAATTTGTGATCCTCCTTCCTCAGCCTCCTAGTAGCTCAGATTGTAGGCATGCCCCAACCATGATAGAAACAATCAGATTCAAAGTTTTTGGCCTAACTACAATAGCAGTAAAAATATTACATTCTGAAGCCACAATAAGAGTAAGAATAAGAGCATTATAGCATTTTGAAGATAGGTGAATACTTTGAATAAAATTTGTGAAAATTTCCAAGTAGGTTGGTGTAAAACACTTTTATTTTTTAATAACTATTAAAATTATAGGCATTTTTACAATATAGGTAATATTTACTGTATAGGAGTATTTATTAAAATTAAAATTATTCCAGTTTCTTCATATGTAAGTAATGGGAAAGCCCATTATCTACATTTATAACTTTGATGTACCTACTTTTAAAATTTACAAATAGATCCTTTGATTGTTTAGCAGGTAACATCTAAAGGGACTGGTTTAAATCCTAATGCCAAAGTATGGCAAGAAATTCCTTCTGGAAATCCTGATGCCACTCCTGTAACTCACGGAACTGAAAGCTCTTGGCATGAAACAGCAGCAACATCAGGGTCTCAGACTGAGGGTAAGGCCAAAATATTTCATTGGCAAAATTACATTTTGATTAAATATATGGCCAAAGAGGTATATAGAACTTTAGATACATCTTTTGATTATTTGTTGGGTTTTTTTGTTTGTTTGTTTGTTTAGGTTTTTGAGACAGGGTCTCACTATACAGTTCAGGCTGGCCTTGAGCTCACTTTGTAGCCTCGACTGGTCTTGACCACAAAACAATTTTCCTGCCTCAGCCTCCCAAGTGCTGGGATTAGAGGCATGTACCACCACACCTGGCACTCCTTTGATTATTTAATTACAATTCTACTTTATATATAATTCTTTTTGTCTTTTTTGAGAGTGGGTCTCGCTATGCAGTTCAAGCTGGCCTTGAGCTCACTTTGTACCAACTCGCAAGGATCCTCCCACCTCAGCCTCCTGAGTGCTGGGATTACAGGCGTGAGCCACCATACCCGGCTCTTATATGTAATTCTTATTTATACCCAACATGAATGGATTGTCACTAATTTGAAGTATTAGCTATAAACGTGAGATCCTGCATTTAATGTATTTATATTTATTTATCATTTGTAGCTTATTATTTTAGATTTTTGTTTGTTTTTATTTTTGGTTTTGGTATAAGGCCTGAACCAAGGGCCTCATGCACGCTAGGCAAGTGCTTTATCATTTAACTACACTTCAGCCCTTTTTATTTTATTTTGAAACATGTTCCATGTTGTTTTGACTGGCCTTAAACTTTTGATCTCACCTAGTCAATCATGTAACCTCAGCTTCTTGAGTAGCACTGGAATTACAAGTATATCTTACCAAATCAGGCTTATAGTTTTAATCTACTATCATTAGCTTTGAAGTTTAGTTACTATTTGATCATGGGCAAATGACTTTTTTTTTTTTTTTTTTTTTTTTTTTTTTTTTTTTGGTCTTTTTCATTTTTATCGGTACTGGGGATCGAACTCATGACTGCCTGCTTGCAAGGCAGGTGCTTATGCCGCTGAGCTAAATCCCCAGCCCCAGCAAATGACTTTTATAAACTATGTGTTTCCTCCATCTGTAGAACGAAAGTAATAAGTGCCAATAGTATAGGATTTTCTGAAAATTAAGTGTATCAAGTACATGGAACACACTGTTGCATAAGTTTTAGTTGTTGTTAATCATCTTAACTTACCTATAGTGGCCCAAACTTTTGTGTAAGTTTTTTTTTTTTTTTTAGACGGCTTCTTACCATGTAGTTCAAGCTGACTTTGAATTCACTATGTAGCTCAGGCTAATCTTAAAATCATGGTGATCTTCCTGCTTCAGCCTCACAAGTGCTGGGATTATGGGTGTGCATCACTACCCACACCCTAATTAAGTAAATATAATTCTTAAAACCATGTGGAGTTGCATATGGTATCACATGGCTGCAATTTTATGTACTTGGGAGGCAGAGGCAGAGTTGCAGATTTGAAGGCACCTTGAGTATGTAAAACCCTGTCCCAAAAATTTTTTAAACTGATATTCAGTCATGGCAGTGCATGCCTATAATCCTAGTGTTTGGGAGACTGAGACAAAAGGATCACTGCTAGTTTGAGGTCACCCTGGGCTACGTAATAAGTTCACGTCCAGCCTGAAATACATAGCAAGACCTTGCTAAGAAACAAAAACAGAAAAACAGTGCAGTGAGGGGATGACATGTCTCTGTGAATAAGGCTCTAGGTTCAGTCCCTTGGGTGGGGGAGATCTGTCCTTATTCAATTAAAAAAAATAATCTATGCTAAGGATATAACTCAGTGGTAGAGTGCTTTCCTAGCATGCATAAGGCCTGGGCTTGGTCTCCAGTGCTCCAAAACTACTAAAACCATGTGAACATTTTTCCAACTGATAGAATTTCTTGAAATTTTGTTCTAGAAGATATATTACCTCTGGAGATAGGATTAAAATTTTTTGTTTACTTTTAATACAGAAAGTACAGAGCTTTCAGAAGACATGTGTAAAGAATATGAAATAATGTATTCTTCATCTTGTGAAACCACAAGAAATACTACTGGCATTGAAGAACCAACTGAAGGAATGATTTTAGGACCCGAAGATATGAGTTACCAAATATATGACATTTCTGGTAAACTTCTGTTTTTATTGCTACAATCACAATTCAGCACACACACACACATCAAAAACTACTAAAAGGGAGAAAAAGAGACTAGTAAGAGAGATTAAAGAGCATGACTCACATCAGATAGTAAAAGAGATATACAGTAGTTACATAACTATATCCCAATTAGTTAAGTTAGAATCTGTCTTCAAATGTAGAATATGTTCACCTTTTGTTCTTTTAGTTGCTGTTAAGGAACACAGTACTTACAACATTTCTTAAATGTGATGGTGTTTTGCAACAATAACCAAGTGCTTTTGGTATTAATAGTTCTTTGTTGATTTCTTGATAAAGTAACTTTAATATGAAATTATCTGGAAAAGGGGATTTAGTTCAGCGGTACAGGCGCCTGCCTGGCAAGCGCAAGTCCTGAGTTACAAGGGTTTGGGTTTTTTTTAATACTACAGTGTTGTAAATTTTTGTTTTGTTTTGTTTTTTGTCTTTTTGAGACAGGGTCTCCCTATGTAATTCAGGCTGGCCTTGAGCTCACTTTGTAACCCAGACAGGTTTTAAACTCACAAAGATCCTCTTACATGCTGGGATTATAGGTGTGCTCATCCCCAGCTAGTATTATAAATTTTAATTTGTGGATACTTTGTGATTTCTGAGTATAACTTGTCAATTTTACCACCTATGATAACTTAGTATTAACTTTTGTTTTCTACTATCAGGAGAAAACAGTGCGGCAATCTCTACAGAAGACCTGAAAGAATGTCTGAAGAAACAGTTAGAATTCTGTTTTTCACGGTACAGAATCTTTTTCAGTTGATATATCTACTGTTCTTGAATTAATTTGGTTAATACATGTAAAATGCCTATGAAATATAGAAGAAAAATGGTAAATGTTGTTTCCCTTTTTAAAATTAATTAACCAGTTTTTAAATTGTTACCTTTAAATGGTAAGTTTTGGTATCATTTTTCAGTACATTTCTTAACTAGATTTCTAGGCATAGTCTCTGATTTAATATGCAAAGGATATAACCTGTGTTGTCTATTAATTTCTTCTATTAACAGAATACTTTCAGCCAAATGTTTTTGAAGTGTCTTATGGATATATGTATTTGCAGTTTAGATATTACGAAACTTCAGTATGTAGAAATGTCCCTATTAAAATAAACAAATTTGGGTATGAATGCATGTGCTTTTCTTTTGTTCTATCTCTGGTGAATGATGAGCCAGTTTTTCAAGCTACAAACCCGGAGTTTTAATCTTAGGCTTATTTATTTATGTACAATACACTGTTAACTCAGATTTGGTTGATTTTTCATCCTAAATATTTCCCATGTCTTTCTTCCTCTTTAATCTTTATCTTTATATTCCAGTACAGTTAGTAGTATGAAAGCAAGAACCTCTCAGCTTTCTTAAATCAGTTGTATCTGTGATACAGTTCATTTTCAGTAACACAGTAGTTACAGTAAAATCCTTGACTACAAACTGGATCATTAGATGGTCTTTCTAGTCATAATTTCTTGCCTTTTTGCATATCTTAAAAATGTAAATGTTGACTGTATGCTAGGTATTACATAGGAAGGAAGTGTAAAAGCAGCAGCTAAGAGTTTTCTCTCTGGACAGGGATTAAATTTCTGTTAGGCCATTTAAGTGAAACTGGATTGACTGAACTGGATCAGAACTGAACAGCCATTTTTAAACAGCTCACCTCTGATTTATCTGTTTTTAGGCATAGACCTCTTGGACTTTTAGAGTGTGGCAGTTTCCAGTCACTGTATTCTTTTGTTTTTGGTCTTTTCTCACTATGTAATTCAGGCTGGCCTTGAACTCAACTTTGTAGCCCAGGCTGGTCTCAAACTCACAGCGATCCTCCTGCTCTAGTGTTCCAAGTGCTGGGATTACAGGCATGCAACACCACACCCAGTCACTTTATTCTTAAAGTACCAAGACAAATCAGATGTTTTTAAAAGAGATTTGAGAATAGCTTTTTTAAAAAAACATTGAGGGACCAGGGATTTAACTCAGTGGCATAAGTGCCTGCCTGCCAAGCATAAGGTCGTAAGTTTGATTCCCCAGTGTCATACATACATACATAGAGGAAGGGAGTTTTTACAAAGGTGGTCAAGTCAGGCCTATTTGAGAAGAAAGCTTTTAACCATGGACTTCTATTTATTTTTAGACAGTCTGGCTAAACAAATACTTGATATGAATAAGAAGGCAAGAATTTGATTTTAGGGCCAGGGATTTAGCTCAGTGGCATAAGTGCCTGTCTGGCAAGTGTGAGGTCTTGAGATCAATCCCCGATACCAAAAAAAAAAAAAAAAAGAATTTGATTTGATTTTTGTAACATTTATGAATTAAACATCTTAGCGTGGTGATGTACACTTATAATTCCTGCACTCTGAGAAGCTGAGGCAGGAGAATAACAAGTTCAGGACCAGTCTGGGTAGTTTAATGGCTTTGAGAGATCCTGACTTAAAGAAAAAAATTTTTAAAAAACAGTCTAGATACAAATTCAGTCCCCAATCTTGGACAAAGGAGCCAAAACATACACTGGAGCAAAGATAGCCTCTTTAACAAATAAATAGTACTGGGAAAACTGGCTATCCATATGCAGAAGATTGAATCTCAACCCACAGTGTTCACCATATGCTATCCTAATATCAAATGGTTCAAAGACCTAAACATTAAAAGAAACACTTTACCTGCTAGAAGAAGGTAACACTCTTAAATGCATAGATGGGAATTTTCTCAACAGAACACCAGCTGTGTAAGAAATAACATCAAGAATCAACATAAGAGATTATGTCAAATTAAAAATCTTAACGCAAAGGAAACAACAAACAGTGAAGAGACAACATGCAGAATAGAAAAAAAATTTTGACCGCTACCTCTTGGATAGAGGATTAATATCTAGAATATGCAAAGAACTGAAGGAAATTAGACCATCCAGAATAAAAGACCCAATCAAAAAATGAGCAAATGAGATGAATAGACTGATTTCAGAAGAAGTACAAAATGATCAGGAAATACATGAAAAATGCTCATCTCTGGTCAACAGAGAAACGCAGATTAAAACAAGACTGAGATTTCATCTTACTCCAGAAACAAAGGTTATTATCAAGAAATTAAAGAATAACAAACGTTGGCAAGGGTGCAGGGGAAGAGGGACCTTTCCTTCTACACTGTTGGTGGGAATGTTAAAACTAGTACAGAAGTTCCATTTGACCCAGCTATTCCCTTCTAGGTAACTTCCTAGGGTTAAAGTCATCATACCACAGTAATAACTTATATTCCCATTTTTATAGCAGTACAGTTCATAATAGCTAAATGTTAGAACAGCCTATTTGCCACCAGCAGATAAATGTATTTGTACACAATGCTATAAGGAAGAGTAAATCTGTGTCATTTGTAGGAAAATGAGTACATCTGGAATCTATTGTGTTAAATAAAGCAGACACATGAGCTTAAATATGTTATGCTTCCCTTACAGGAGAAACTCAAAGTATAAATAAGTCAAAATAAAATAAATGATAGACAATGGGAAATGGAGAAATGGGTTCTTGGTAAATGGAAGGGACTAAGAGATGCTGGAAAGAGGAGTGGGAAAGGGTGGGGATGTAAAAAGATTTAAGATGTATCTTGTACATGCTCCAGCTATCTACCAACCAGTGTGTCAACTATGTATTTTAAACACATACTTATTTAGTGATGTAGTTCAAGAAAAACCCTGGATTCAATCCCCTGTCCTGTTTACCTCCCCCAAAATCCTTATATTTAATTCATAGGTAAACTTCCATTTTTTTTTTCCAAATGTATATAATAACACTGATGCTGAAGTGTTTTTTTTTTTTCTTTTTATCAGTACCAGGGATCAAACTCACGACCGCCTGCTTGCAAGGCAGGTGCTTATGCCGCTGAGCTAAATCCCCAGCCCCCAGATGCTAAAGTGTTTATAAAGTGAAACACTGATTCTTTTATACATGTTATTTAATATTAAGCTACTTTCCATAGCAATATAATTCCATAAAGTTCTTTGTCCAGTACTTTGGGCCAAATACTTTTGGAGAGTCAGACATTTTGTGAAAGTGTTACCAATGTATGTTACGTTAGTACCTTGGACGTTGAACTTTTAACTGAACTTTTCAGAGTTCAGCCTTTTATTTCTAATAGCATAAATGTGTTGCCCTGAACATACTGATAAAAATGAATAAAACTTCTTGAGATGGTTTTTAAGAATTTCTTGTTATATTGCTTTTGTTTATTTCTTTCAGAGAAAATTTATCAAAGGATCTTTACTTGATATCTCAAATGGATAGTGACCAGTTTGTCCCAATATGGACAGTTGCCAACATGGAAGAAATAAAAAAATTGACCACAGATCCTGATTTAATTCTTGAAGTGTTGAGATGTATGTAATAATACCTTTAAACTTGTGTTTGAATTTTAAGAAGTTAAACATTCTCTGGCTTTCAGGGAGTTTTAATGGTTCTCTCTCATTCCAGTAATTTATTTTCCCTGGTTGCTTGTCTATTGTATGTGTGTGTGTTCAGCTTCTGTAGTCTATATTTTGGTTGTTGTTCTTGCTGCTCAATTAACAAGTATAGGCAGTTAAATCTCATTTTTTATGGGCTGTTAGAAAGAGTGTCACCCTTATATCTGTTAAAGCAGTCTGTTTCAAAGTTGAACCCAGTGGGCCAGGGATTTAGCTCAACACATAAGCACCTACCTGGTAAGTGCAAGGTCGTGAGTTCAATTCCTGGTACCAAAAAAACAAAATGTGACAAGAACAACTTACTCCACAGCTGTCCATCTCTACCGCGTGCCTCATACAACTGAACTCAGTTTTATAAGTTAATACTGTTGTATTTCTTGATTTAGGTTCTAATTTTTAATGGTGTTTGTATCTTGTATTAATGTTTCTTGATAACTTCTCAAGTTTTTTTTAATTAACTGCTTGAATAAATAAAAGAGATCTTTACTTTTATATGAAGTCTGTTCAGAATGCTCCAAAGTTAAATATAATCAATATAACCATAGACCTATATGGGAGTATAATACATAGAGTATTATATAGACATCATTTCTTAAAATGTCTCAGTCTTGTCTACAAAGAAAATTATCAGAGGGCTGGGGATTTACCTCAGTGGCCATAAGAGGTGCATGCCTGGCAAGTGCAAGGTCATGAGTTCAATCCCCATTTCCAAAAAAAAGAAAGAAAGAAAGAAAATTATCAGTGACAAGCAAAATACTTTCTCTATTCTGCTACCATTTACCCATCACTACTTTTTAAAATTTGTTTACCTCAGGGAAATAATGCCATATTGCTGCTCTGAAGAAACTGGAAATACAAGTTTTAGCTATATGGAAGTATCTGTTTCCACTATTCCTCAAAATCAGCATCCAAAAAATGACTTTTGGCTCTTTGTTGTAGTAGATAAAAGTAAATATATTATTTTAAAAAGATGCACCGTATGAAGTCATAATTAAAAATATATGCTGCCTTAAGGCTTTTTTTCAACCGCAACACAATGCTAAGTTAAAGTATGTATTCTGAATATTTACTCAATGAATAACCTTTGAGGATATTTATTTGTAAGCCTCAGGTTGTTTTTTTCCCTCCCTTAATGATAATCATTGGCAGTTAACCTCTAGTAATTTATTCATTTGAAAATTAAACTAGTCTTTTGATGGCATTATTAATATCACTATCTATCACTTTTAAACAAGATCCTTCTTTTTACAATTTCAGCATCTCCAATGGTACAAGTTGATGAGAAAGGTGAGAAAGTGAGGCCGAGTCATAAACGTTGTATTGTGATTCTCAGAGAGATTCCTGAAACAACACCAGTAGAGGTAAACCATTAGTTACTGTTAAGTGTTCTTTAACTGTTTAAATTGGAGAAGTTATACAAGTGAAGTATAACTCTGACTTCGTATCAGTTATTGTCATTGAGATAAATACTAATGTTTTGTTAAGGCTAATTTTTAAAAAGATTAGTGAAATCAGACCCTACTGATAAATGATACATAAAAAAGGTGCAGTTATAAAGATGGTAAAGTATGTGCTAGAGAATGAAGTAAAATGGAATGAAACAATATAACCCAGAAACATAGTATCACATAATTATATATAATGATATTTAATAACTAATTCTATTTGCTGTTGTTTATAGTTTATAGTCATTTAAAGCCAAACATTTTATTATCTGTTTTCAGCTAAGAATCTGAGCCTTTGAATGGTTAAACAACTTGGCCCAAGGGTAAATGGACTATTAAATGACAGTCTGGGGGGGGGGAATGACAATCTGGACTTATAAAGCCTATGTTTCTTAACCATTATGCCTCAGCTTTGCTCTGAATTGCCATATTAAGCCACTTGCCAGATGACAAATATGATATCTTGATCATTTTGCCCATTCAGCATTAAATCTCTACATAAAAATTGCTAAATTTAGGATCAGTGAAAGAAATTAGAAAAAAAATTGTTTCAAGATCTTTGACTTAGAGCTGCACGTCAAAAGTAAACTAGAGCCTTTACACTGAATTATGTCTCTAACCCTTCTTAATTGTTAATTCTTTATTCCTAGCTAAGTCATGAATTTGCCCAGGTTGGGCTCAAACTTACAGTATTCTTGCCTCAGCCTCCCAAAGTGTTGGGGTTTTGACCAAGTACCCCCACACCCAGCTTTTTAAGCTTGTTTATTTGACTGGACAATGAAAAGATGGGAGAATTTTGTATAACAAAAATTTAGCGTGCCACCAGAAGTGAAAAACTTTTGTTTTGCTGATTGTAAAATAAAACTCCATCCTTAAAATTTACTTAGTTTTGTCCAGATTAAGTTACCAAATGAAAAAATAGGACTAAAAGGCTCAGAAATGCTCATCCTCACCAAAACAATAAATGCCCTTTACTGATACTTTGTTTTTAAGAGTTGACTACAAATTTTCTTTTTTAGGAGGTGAAAGCTTTGTTCAAAAATGAAAACTGCCCCAAAGTGATAGGCTGTGAGTTTGCACACAATAGCAATTGGTACATCACTTTCCAGTCAGATACGGATGCACAACAGGTAAGAAGATTTTTCTATTTTATCTTACTTATTTTTGGTATATTTTAATTAAGCCAAAGATACAGCTCAGTGGCATAGGTGCTGGCCTAGCAAGCACAAGGTCATTTTGATTCTTGGTACCAAAAAAAAGAAAAGTGCTTGCTCTAATGTTATAAAGACTAGTGGGCACATTGGTCACCTTTTTGTTTTTGCTTTGTTGGTTTTCTTTTTTTATTATCGTCATAAAGATTTTTCTATTTCAATTCTAAAGTTTACAGGTTTTACTCTTCTTGTGTCATCCTTAAAGGAAACATATATATTTAAAACAAAAATGATAGCATTATAAAATAACTCAGATTTTATTGTTCTTTGTTTCTTCATCTTTGAAATTTATCCTGATTGAATCAGATGATATCTAGTGCTCTTTTAGGTTTGTTTTGAATCTTGCATATTTTATCTGCAGTAATTCATACATGTGAACTGTAGCTGAGAATGTCTTGAGTTTTTACTTTTCATTCTCTTATCACCTTAAAATTTTTAAAAATAACTTCTGGTTGTAAACTCTTGATGAATAAAGATGATTTTAATAAAATGTCTGTCTGAATACTAATGAAAGTTCTTTCTGCTTTAATAGGCATTTAAATACTTACGAGAAGAAGTTAAAACATTTCAGGGCAAGCCAATCATGGTAAGAAACATTTGTACATATAGTAGAGGACAGTGAAACAAAAGCATTTTTCATTTTTTGCTATTCGAGAATTTAAGAAAATACAAATAGATAATATAGGCCTGTAGTAATTTTAAAGATCTTTTTGGATTGTATTATATGTTAGTTCAGAAAATTCGGTGATAGGGCATTAAAATATTTTGTTTATAGTAGTTCTTTCCAAATAACTTCATAAAGTGTTTGTTCAGTAGTTTACAACCTATAATTTCAGATCTCAAAATGAACAGCAGGTCTAATTTTCTAATTTTTTAAATTTATTTATTTATTTATCTTTTTTGAGATGGGGTCTCACTATGCAGTTCAGGCTGGCCTTGAGCTCACTTTGTAGCCCAGACTGGTCTCGAACTCGCAGTGATCCTTCCACCTCAGCCTCCCGAGTGCTGGGATTACAGGCATATACCCCATACCTAGCATACTCTTGATGTGATATTGTAATTTTATTATTTCCATATTTGTTTTTGTACCTGGTTTATTGTAGTTTTTCATGTGTACTGCACATTAATTAAAACTATCTTCTCTGTCTTTTGTGATTCCTTTTGTTTTTCATGTTTTCTTTCTCTTTGGCATTGAAGTACAATAAGTAGAAATAGTGTAGTATACTGTAAAATATTGAAATGTAAATTTAGTACTGGTTTGAATATATTTATTCTTTTTATTATAATATATTCTTTTTGCTTCTAGGCAAGGATAAAAGCCATCAATACATTCTTTGCTAAGAATGGTTATCGATTAGTAGATTCTTGTATGTACAGTCATCCCATTCAAACGCAAGCACAGTATGCTTCACCAGTCTTTATGCAGCCTGTGTATAATCCTCACCAACAATACTCAGTTTATAGTATTGTGCCTCAGTCTTGGTCTCCAAGTCCTACACCTTACTTTGAAACACCACTGGTAAGTGAGATCCTTACAGAATAATGTAAAATAACAAAATTTTAAATTCAAGTTGAAATTTGAAGAAATAAGCCAGAGTAATTCATTCATTGATACTGGTGATTTTTTTGGCGCGCGCGTGTGTGTGTGTGTGTGTGTGTGTGTGTGTGTGTGTGTGTGTGTGTGTACTGGGAACTGAACTCAGGACCTTGCGCTTGCCAGCCAGCTGCTATACCACTGAGTTATATTTTTGGCCCCTATTAGTTGGCTTTTAAATAGTGATACAGCTATCTATTCCTCCTTAATCTGTATATAGATTGGAAGATAGATAGAGGCTTTAGCTGTTGATTTCCACAATTTAAAATTTCTGAAATGATTTGAAAATAGTGTAAGAAATCAGTGCTAGGTTCTCTCAAATGTCTTTTTGACCCTCACTCCATGTTTCCCATTTATACAATGTAAACATAAACTTTTCTTCTAGGCTCCCTTCCCCAATGGTAATTTTGTGAACGGCTTTAATTCACCAGGATCTTACAAAACAACTGCTGCTGCTTTGAATATGGGTCGGCCATTCCAAAAAAATCGGTGAGATAAAAATCAGTTGAAATTTATTTTAAACAGTTCCCAATGCATCTTAAGGAATTGCTTTTGTTAGTAGCAGTACTTCTTGGTAGAGTCCATTAAAAATTTTCACTTGTTTTTCAAGAAGTATATAAGCAATTCAATCTAGAATTCACAAAGCCACTTCAACCTCAGTTGATAATAGATATGAAAAGAATGACGACTCAGTAGTAAAAGGAATAAGAAAAAATATAGTAGCCACTGTGTTCGCTCTTGCCTGGTGGCCATCCTCACTGCAGGGTTGCTTCTTTCCCTACTTTTACTTGGCCCAGACTCACTCTGCAAAGCCTGTTTCTTTTCCTACTTTTTTTTTGCTTTTCCTACTTCTAATAAATCTTTGCTACCATTAAACACATCTGTTTTTATATGGTAGCAATCTTACACATAGTTTAGTGTCTAAATGTTGCTTAGTATATTGATTAATATGTTAGAAATGTTAAGTAACATAATTTGAGTGATAAATATTGGGATATATATCATCAGATTTTGATGAATTGTCTTTTAAAGTGATTTCTATGCTACACAACATAGCAGATGATAACTAACATTTAGTATCTCAAGCTCTGATCCTAAGAGCTTATTTTTTAAATCAATTTTGTATAGAATAATTTATTAGGAGTCTTAGGGGGCTATTCCTCCAGCATGCTTGAGGACCTTGATTTGATCACCACCACTGGGGATAAAATTACTAGGAATCCTGGAAACTATTGCCTGTTAAACAAGAGGTAAATAAATCTTTCATGTTTTATTCTTCTTAGACATCAGATGGCAATCACATTATTTGGTGTGTCATGAGAGTATATGTGACTAGTCACTGAGTAAAGGGCTGATACATAAATGGTTTAGATTTCATATATATTATTTCTTGTGTGTTTGTTTTGTAAGCCCGTTGATTTCAGTGATTTCTAGTCTCGGCCAGATCTGATTTGTCCATTTGTTTTGGGCAAAAAAACCATATGGGATATATTTTGTGAGATTTTTATGAAATATACTTTATTGGAGAAAAGAGTTTACAGTATCAGAAGTATTCTCAGTGCATTCTATATGCGTCCTTCTGCACTACCATGCTCAACATTTTTGGACTCAGTTTTTGACTGAGTCGGGGATCCCTTGGTCCCAGAAGTTCAAGTCACAGCTCAAAAAGCAGGGTCCTTGTAGATGACTCATTTAGTTTGTACAGGGCTGTTTTTGTATCAAGAATCAAACTGACGACCTTAATGCTTGCCAGGAAGACATTTGTGCCACTGTATTATATTCCCAGCACTCTCGTTTAGTTTGATTGATAGTGGTTAACTGTAAAATTCATCATTGCTGTGACATAGAAATACAAGTACACAGACTCTTTCATCCTCCATCTTGATACTTGAAAAACATTAATTTCCATGGGCACACAGGGATGATAAAGAAAGTAGTTTTAACTTATTTATGAGAAAAAAAGTGAAAGATAAAGAAAAAATATCTTGGGCCAGGGATTTAGCACAGTGGCCTAAGTGCCTGCCTGGCAAGTGCAAAGTTGTGAGTTCCATCCCTGGTACCAAATGGAATAATAAATACCTTGCCAGAATTGTATAGCTTGGGGCTAGGGATTTAGCTCTACAGCATAAGTGCCTGCCTGGCAAGAGTGAGGTCGTGAGTTTGATTCTCCGTGCTGGACAAAAAAAGAAAAACAGAACTGTGTGGCTAGTTATTATCACTGGGCCTAAGATTACATTATCTAAATACCTTTTTCCTTCTACCATAAACTGGCATAATTTACTCTTAAAAATAATTTCATTAGAGTAAATTAAACCTCACAGCTTTTGTGAGAACACATTGCTCGTGATTATGTTAGGACTGGGCATGTAGCACAGTGGTAGAGAGTATCTATTACATATTTCACTGATTGGGGTATAGCTCAGTAAAAGAGCACTTGTCACCAGGTAGCACAGTAGCAAACACCTGTGGTCCCAGCGCTCAAGAGGCTAAGGCCAACCAATTGAAGGCTAGCCTGAATTACATAGCAAGAGCCTGTCTCAGAAGAAAGAGGAATTTAAAAAAAAAAAAAGAGCATTGCCTGTAAGTGCAAGACCCTAGGTTCAATCCCCAACCCTCCAAAAATAAGTACTTTGCTTTTTTTTTTTTTTTTTTTTTTTTTTTTGTCTTTTTCGTTTTTATCGGTACCAGGGATCGAACTCACAACTGCACACTTGCAAGGAAGGCGCTTATGCCACTGAGCTAAATCCCCAGCTCCAGTACTTTGATTAAAGATTACACTATACCAGACATGATGACTCATACCTATAGTCCAGCACTCTGGGAAGCTGACCTAGGAGAATCACATAAGCCCAGCTTCAACAATTTAGCAACTTTATGAGACTTTTTCCAAAAAAATAAAGGACTATAGATATAGCTCGGTGCAGAGGCTCTGGGTTCCATTCCCAATACCACCCAAAAAGAAAAAAATTAGGTGAATTTCTGATTCCTCCTTTGTTACTGGTATTGTTTTCTTGCCTTCTGGATCAAAGAGGTGAAATTATAAAACAAGGAATGAGCCAGGCGTGGTGACACATGCCTGTAATCCCAGCACTTGAGAGGCTGAGGCAGGAGGATTAGTGAAAGTCTGAGACCAGCCTGGGCTATAATGAGCTCAAGGCCAGGCTCAACTGCATAGTGAGATCCTATCTCAAAAAGACAAAAACAAAACAACCCTAGGAATGACAGAGAAATCACCTTGGCTCATATGGAAGCACATCTGTGGCTTTGAGGATATGGGATAGGTTTTCTACATAATTTTGCAATTTTCTGTGTTATATGAAATGATTTTTATACATTGGTCTTTTGTGTTTTGTTTTGTTGGAAATCAAGATTTCTTTACACAGTTCAGGCTCCACCTTGAACTCATTTTGTGGTTCTGGCTGGCCTCAAATTCTCAGCAATCTTCCTGCCTCAGCCCCCTGAGTGTTGGAATTACAGGCCTGTGTCCCCTTGCCCAGCTTTTTTTGTATTATTTTTCTTGAGAATCTTTATATATTTTTTTATTTTGCATCTTCCATATATTTGACCAATACTGTACAGATTGTAAATTTTTAATTACAGGAATAATACAAGAAAAAAATTTTTTAAAAAAAGAAAGTACACGAATGTTTCCCCTTATAAACAATAGAAACAGGGGCTGGGGGTTTAGCTCAGCAGCATTGCCAGCCTAGCAAGTGCAAGGTTGTGAGTTTGATCCCTGGTACAAAAAAAAGAAATACAGAAACATTCCACAGATGAAACTAAATAGCTTTTTTACCACCAACCCAATCTTTGTTTCCTTTTTGCTTATAAGAAGTGATGGCTACCAGGCCTTTATGTTTTTAAAAATTATTTATCAGAGCAGGGAAATGGAGGTGCACACCTGTAATCTCAGCACCCTCAGAGGTTGTAGCAGGAGGAACATAACTTCAGTCTGAGCAACTTAATGACTTAGCCAGACCTTATCTTGAAAAGTAAAAGTGAAGAATGTAGCTCAGTACAAAGGAGAGGCCCTGGGTCCAACCCCCAATACTGCCAAAAAGACAAGGCTTTCTAAAAGGACAAAGTAACAGGCCTTTGGAGGTTGTTGAATTAGCTTTATGACAGCCCAGTGATGATCACTAATCCTAGAGAGAATTGGACTAACTTTCAGATGTCCGGGCATTTTCCTACCTTTTTTATTTTATTTTTCTTTCACTTCTCTTTGCTTTTAATCTTTTGTCTGTCAATTCTTCATTCTATTTTCTGTGTGGCCTGGATTGAGATTGTAAGTCCCTCTCAATGAAGGGTAAGATTATGAGATCTGAGGGCTGTTTAAATTTAGCAACATAACCTTGAGGCCTGCTGAAATGCACGGTGAATGAAAATTGGGTGAGTAGTAGTTTCTGAACTAATTTAGTAGCATCTCTTTCACAAGGCCATTTTCAAATATAATAGATAATATTTTAAAATCTCCTGTTATGGGATATTCTGTACTTTTCATTGTAATTCTCTGAAAATGTATTGTCAAGCTGGATTTTTTATTTTCTATCTTAAATGTTAAATCTTTTTTTCTTTAATACTGGGAATAGAATTCAGAACCTTCACTGAGCATCGACAACCTTTTGACATAAGGTCTTCCCAAGTTACCAAGGCCTTAACAATCTCTACAATAAAATAGGACAGTTATAGATATGTCTTTTTTTTTTTTTTTTTTTTTTTTTTTTTTTTTTTTTTGTCTTTTTTGTTTTTATCGGTACCAGGGATCAAACTCACGACTGCCTGGTTGCAAGGCAGGTGCTTATGCCGCTGAGCTAAATCCCCAGCCCTTAGATATGTCATTTTGAGACAAGGTCTCACTGTGTAGTTTAGGATTTCTTGAACCCAGGCTGGCCTTGAACTTGGCATTAACATCCTGCTTCAGTCTCCTGAGTGCTAGGGTAATAGGTGGGCACCACCATGCTGGGCTATTACTGCAATTGTTAATCTCTGTTGAAGAAGCTATCAATGAGCAATGTGTTATTAATATGATAAATATGGAACAAATTTATTAAAAACAGGTTATATAAACTGAAAGCAAGGGACCAAATATGCATATCACATTTCCTTTTTAATTGATTATAGAGCCACAATCCTCAGTTGCTTAGGGTCACTTTAAAAGTTTTTGATGTTGATTAACATGCATCCTCTCTCCATTACCCTACCACAGTTTTATCTACATAAAGTGTTTTAGGAAGATGGTTCCTTACAGTTATCATCTAAGATAAAAGCTACTTTTATAGAAACAGGTTTGTAGATAGGGTGTTTTTTGTTTTTCTTATTATTTTTTTCTTGTTATTTTTACTGCATTGCACATCTGATTCATGAATTCATGCTGGGCTCTTAGTTGTGTTGCTGTATTTCCCTAGTTTTCTTTCATATGGATCATAAACAATTGACTTCATTTAGTGAAAGGTGAGATTTTAGTATATTGTATTTTTCACCCTTTTCACTGTCACACCCATAAAAATCCTTCTTAGACATTATTTTTTATAATGTCTCCTATAGTATGGATTATTATATATCTGCTTTAAAATGTTATCTATTACATTATATATACATAAAATGAGTATGCTGTCTTTGGTCTCACACAACTGTCAGTTTTTACTTGCATTAGTTTTGCCATTATTGAGAGCATGTGGTATAAACTCATTAATAAATTTAAAACCTAAACTGGGTGTGGTGGCTCACGCCTGTAATCCCAGCACTCAGGAGGCTGAGACAGAAGGATCATTGGGAGTTTGAGAACAGCCTAGGCTACAAAGTGAGTTCAAGGCCACCCTGAACTGCATAGTGAGACCCTGTCTTGAAAAGACTCCCAAAGAAAGGTCATAGCCTGCCTAATGTAGCAAATTTAAGAGCGCAGTTGGTTTAAACACAAAACAAAATGTTTAAATCCTAAATATACTTTTGACTTTTGAAGTAGAAGTAGTTTTATCTCCAAAGAACCTTGGATTTTCCCCCAGTATGTCTCCAGACACAAATTTATTGCAGAAATTCTTTTGCCTTTTAAAATATTGTATTGGGACATAAAAGAGTAATGTTTTTATATAACATTTTTGTTTATGGAAAATGAGAGTTTAGTTATAAAGTCAGTTTTTTCTGTCCTGATTTATATTTTCATGTATATGATCTTACATTTCTTATAGTGTGAAGCCTCATTTTAGGTCATCCAGTGGTACAGAACAAACTGCAGAGAGCTCTGTGCCATTGGGGGATGGACCATTGAACAGATCTAATTCAAGGAATTTTGCACCTGAACGGCATAACCCTACAGTAACAGGTCAACAAGAGCAAACTTACCTTCCAAAGGAGACTTCTGCTTTACAGCTGGAACAAAATGGGGACTATGGTAGAGGCAGGTAAGGAAATAACTGTGTATGAAATTTCTTTGATCATCAAGTGATCATCCTAAAATTTCAAAGACTATGATCTGTTGATCTTTTTTTTTTTTTTTTTTTTTTTTTTTTTTTTTTTTTTTTGCCTTTTTTCTTTTTTATCAGTACTGGGGATCAAACTCACGACTGACTGCCTGCTTGCAAGCCAGGCACTTATGTCACTGAGCTAAATCCCCAGCCCCTGATCTGTTGATTTTTGTTGTTTTAACTTAAAGTACAAAGTCATGCTGATGAATACATTGATTGTATGACATGGGGAAATAGTTTCTTTTGTCTTTTGGTGGGTTTTTTGTGGTGCTAGACATCAAACTCAAAGCCTTGCACATGCTAGCTAGGCAAGCACTTTGCCACTGAGATACCTCCCCACTCCCAGTAGTTTTTGTTTATTTTTTGTTTTTTCATAATAAGGAACTTAAGAGTATCTTTATAGAATATAATTCTGTATCAGGGGTTTATAGTGTGAAGTTCCATATAGTTTGTTGAGGAAATAACAGCTTAGAAAAATAGGATACCTGTCTGCCTTAGTTTTAATTTTTCCCCACCCCTGAACTATCGAAGTGGTGGTTATATATTGCCCACCATGTCTAAATTACACTTCAATTTGCTTCCAGTAATGGAGGAAATATTCTTAATAAAAGTGATCTAAATAACTTGGTGGTTGGTGGTGGTGATGATCATAGTGAAATTTAAGTAGCAGTCATTCCATCTTTGATACAATGGTATAACTGAAGAATCTTTTAAAGAGTTGTTTTACCTCTTTTGTTAAAAGGAGAGCTCTTTTCAGAGGTCGAAGACGACGAGAAGATGAAAGAATCCCAGTGAGTATTTTTAACCTTTGAATTTATCTGGGTTTTTTGGTTTGGTTTGGTGTTTTTGTTTATTTGTTTACTGTGGTGTTGAGTTGTTTATGGTCTTTCTTTTCTGTGCTTTAATCCCAGCACTATAGGATGCTGAGGTAGGAGTATCAAAACTAGCCCAGGCAATTTAGTGATTTAACAAGAGCCTTTCTCTATTAAACAGTTGGAGATGTAGCTCATTGTGAATGCTCTGCTCATTACAACTACAAAATAAATGAAAGAGAAGATTATATAACATTTACATTTTAAAAATAAACTTGGAAAGCTCAACTATTACATTATTGGTGGGCATTTAATAGTTTCGATCTTTTGCTCTTATAAACAGTACTATCTTGGTCACTTTTTACTTGTCGCTGAGACACAATACCTGATGCCCCGGTTTATTTCTTGCAGTTTTGGAGGGTTTCAGTCCATACTCAGTTGGCTCCAAGGCAGGGTGGCGTGTTGGGGCTGTAGTTCATGGCAGCTGCAAACAGCAAGGCGGCAATTGGCAAGAGAGACAGACACACCTTCTGGCCACCATTATATTGTATGCTATGTGGGTCTATACAGAGCACTGACACCATCAATCCAAGCTCTAGACAATGAACCAGTCACAAATGCATAATGCAAACACATGAGGCCTAGGGGCTACCGACATAAACCATGACAAGTACAGTTAGAAGTTACAGTAATAACCTTGTAACTGTCATTTGCCCTATGTATATTTATGTCTGAAAGAGTCCCTTGGATGTGGGATTTCTGGATCACAAGTCAATGATCAGTAACCAATATCGTTCTGTAAGGGTTGTGTCAGCTTTTATTCCCATAAACAATAGACAAAAGTTATTGTTCTGTGGCTTGTCCTATGGCTTTAGAATGTAAGTTGTTGGGGCTAGGGATTTAGCTCAGTGGCATAAGCACCTGCTTTGCAAGCAGGCGGTTGTGGGTTCAATCCCCGGTACCAATAAAAATGAAAAAGACAAAAAAAAAAAAGAATATAAGTTGTTTTATTTTTTTCAATGTGAGAGAGTATATAATTTCTCCTACTCTCTTCCCCAGTACTGGTGTTTGAACACACACCCTTTACACTGAACTGCATCAGTAGCACATCCTGACTTTGTTTTATTGTTGTTTGTTTGTTTTTGGGTGGTGGTGGTGGTGGTTGTTGTTGTTATCATCGGATTTTTTTGAGAGCATCTCACTAAATTGTTTAGCTGCTCAAGCTGGGCTTGGGTTTGTGATCTTCCTACCTCAGACTCTCAGAGTGGCTGGCATTAGAGGCATGTGCCACCACACCTACTGTCATTCTTCAAACTCTATATGATGTTAGAAATTGCTATATTGTTTATTAATTGTTTGAGGGCAGTTTTCTACCTACTAGCAATTCATATATCTGCTAGTCTTAGAAAACTTTATTTTGGTACCAGGAATCAAACTTAGAACCTCGTGCTCACCAGGTAAGCACTTATGCAACTGAACTAACTAAATTCTTGGCCCACACAACATTTTATAGATTTCAAAAATGTTACATTTTAATCTTAAATATTCTAGTTTCAAATTATTAATATTTTTGTTTCGTATAATTTGTTTATAATAAATGGCTGCCATTTCTTCCCTGCTTTTTTTTTTTTTTTGTCTTTTTCCTTTTTATCGGTACCGGGGATCGAACTCATGACTGCCTGCTTGCAAGGCAGGCGCTTATGCCGCTGAGCTAAATCCCCAGCCCCATGGTTGCCATTTCTTAAGTAGAAGTAAAAACAATTGGAAAAAAACATGAGAAGGCATGAAGTTCTCAAGAATCCCTCACTTGAATAAATAGTATTAGTTTTCCTTTATAGCTTTCTATATTGTGGGCAGCTATGAAAATTATAGCAGTGACATACTATCCACATGGGTTTTGTTTTGTTTTTTTCTGTGAGACAATATCTCACTATGAACTTCTGACCGACTTTAAACTCCTGGCGATTCTCCTTCCTCAGCCTCCCAAGTGCTGAGATTTCAGTCATGGAACATGTCTAATTCCATATGAATCCTTACATCACCCTCAATGATTAGAGAGAAGAGAAACTAGAGTTGGAGTCTGTTCAATGCTGAAAATGTCTAAATTGAATTCTAAAATTTAGAGTAAAGGAAAAGGAGGCAGACTTGCCTTACAGAAGGAAGGGCACATTAGAGGAACTCTTGTGGAGGAGGGAGATCTTAGCGAGAAGTGAAATTTAAGATTTGCAAGTTTATACATAGTTAATTTTAGTGATAAAAGTAGACTAAAAATGAGATGATTCAGTGTGTTGTTTGAAATATCCAAGTGAAATTTGAATGGAGACAGCTAATAGGCCCATGGATATCTGGGTTTCATGTAAAGGACTAGCCTAAAAGTGTACAATTCATTGATTTTGTGTGAATAATTTTGTAGCCATGACCAAAAAAGTGAAAAGGGTTATTTTAAGCAGTATTTGCCCTGGGTGTGGTGACGTACAGCAATAATCCCAGCATTCTACGAGGCTGGACAGGATTGCAAGCCCAATTTAGGCAATTAGTAACTCAGCCCAGACCCTGTCTCAAAATATAAAAGGTTGGGGATTTGGCTCAGTGCAAAGGGCTTAGGTTCAATTCTCAGTACCACTGATGAATGAGTGAATGAGACATGGCAGCACACAATTGTGGTCCCAGCACTTGAAGTTCAAGACCAGCTTAAGCTACACAGTAATGGTGTCTGAAAAAGGGGAAGGTGGTGCATCAGATTGGCGGAAACTAACGAAAGCTTAACTAAGGTAAGATGCTTAGAATTTATAGGGAAACAATTATGTGCATTAGATTAAGGGATTTTTGTTTGTTTTCTTGGAGTTTACAACTTCTGAGATGGCAAAGAATTAAAAGAATGTGATAGGCATATGATCTGTTAATTGATTTGTATCTTTTAGAGACCCCATCCTTCAGCTGAATCAAAGTCGCCAACACCAAAGTTTGACTTACTAGCTTCAAATTTTCCTCCTCTACCTGGGAGTTCATCAAGAATGCCAGGGGAACTCCTTTTGGAGAATAGAATGTCTGATGTCATTAAAGGTGTCTGCAAAGAAAAGGTGAGCACCAAAGCATGCAACATAGTTCTTTCACCAAATGATACTATATCTTATTTATATTTTATTTTTATCTCTTTACTTTCAATTTTAGGTGTTATTCATTAACTTCAGGTTTTATAATTGAGATCTTCCAGCTATCCCAGGGATTTAACCCAAGGATGCCATACCTCTGAGCTCCATTCTCCAGCCCTTTTTAATTTTGAAGTATTATTTCACAAAGTTGACCAGACTGCACTCAAAATTAAGATCTTTCTGTTCAGCTTCCCATGTAGCTACAGTGATGGTCATGTGTCACCACAGCCAGCATAAAGCTCTATTAAAGAACCACACATTAAAATTGTCCCATTCGGAGGCTGGGGATTTAGCTCATCAGCATAAGCGCCTGCCTTGCAAGCAGGCAGTTGTGAGTTTGAAGTCCCATTCACTGAGTGTATTGTGCATTCTCAAACCTAAGATATCATCAATTTTTTCCTTTTTTTGGGGGGGGTGGGGGGGTATGGGGGATCGAACTCATGACCTCGTGATGCCAGGGAAGCACTTACACCACTGAGCTATATACCCAGCCCTGATATCATCAATTTTAAGATATCCCTTATGGTAGTGTCACTAAAGGCATTGCAAGTTAGACTATAACATACCATCATTTGTAACACACTTGGTAATACATATTTTTTAAATAGCTGACACAGAATACTGTGATTGCTTATTTCTTCTTCTTTTTTTTTTTTTTTTTCTTTTTTGAGACAGGGTCTTACTATGTAATTCAGGCTACCCTTGAACTCACAGTCGTCCTCCTGTCTCAGTCTCCCAATTGCTGGAATTACAGGCATGTGCCACCGTGCCTAGTCTCTTCTTCTGTATTCTGAGTTACCTTAACATGGCTGTGTTCCTTGGACTTCCCCTAACCATCATCTTGGGAACTTTTTTTAGTCTCCTGTATTGGAGCTTGTTTTCTTCTTGTTTTAGTTTTACTCTCGAGTATTACAGTGTTTGTTTCTTCTTCTTTTTTTTTTTAATCTTTTTATAGGTACCGGGGATTGAACTCACGACCACCTGTTTGCAAGGCAGGTGCTTATGCCGCAGAGCTAAATCCCCAGCCCCTACAGTGTTTGTTTCTTCCAGAGTATCCTGAATAAGTGGTTGTGAGGCCTAAATTTCTTCTCTGATCTTGAATTCTGGAAATTTATTTATTGTCTCACCATCTGTAGTTTGTCTCCATGCTTACTTCTCTTTTAGAAATAATTTCTCTGGGCTGGACATGTGTTGCAGTAGTAGTGCATTTACCTAGCAGGTGCAAATTCATGGATTTTGTTTTTGTTTTTTTAAGGATCTGCCAGGTTGTTTTCTAAAGCAGCTATGTAGGCTGGGCATGGTGATGCACACCAGTTAATCCACCATTCTAAAGGTTGAGACAGGAGAATTGCCACAAGTTCAGGGCCAGCCTGAGCTACATAGCAAGACCCTGTCTTAAAAAACCAAAACAAGGGGCAGGGATTTAGCTCAGCACCAAGTGCCTGCCTTGCAAGCACATTGTTGTGAGTTCGATTCCCATTACCCAAAAAAAAAAAAACCCCAAAACATACATAGAGCAAATTTCCAATATTCTCATATCACCTCTTATAAAGATCTGTCTCATTTATTGCAGTCACTCTAGGAAGTTTAAAGTGATTTTTCACTATGGTTTTAATTTACCTTTCCTTAATAGATAATTGAGCATCTTTTCATGTATTTATTGATTATGTGTGTATCTTTTAGGAATAAAGCTTAAAAGTAATTTTGAATTATTTTTTACTTTAAGGAGAATGAAGATTTGAGAGCTAATGGCCCAGTACCTGAAGAAGATGCACAGGTAGACTGTACTTCAGCCCAGCAACTCAGTATGAGTACCAGTCCTCCATGTGCAGCTGAACTTCCTGCATTAAGGTACAAGTTTTAGCGCCCAGAATATAGCTCAGCAGCAAAATTGCTAGGGTTCTGAGATCAATTCCTAGTAACAAAGTAAAAAATGATACATGTTCCAGTATAAAAGATGACATTATGTTACTTCCTTTGCAGTAGCTTAACTGTTCTTGTGTACTGTACTAATTCTAATGCCAGGCTCTTTTTTTTCCTTAGCACAACTCAGCAAGAAAAGGATACAACAGATGATTCAGCTGTTCAGAAGGATATTCTTATTCAGATGACTACACCAGTCTCTTCCCCAAGTATTACAAAGCCATCAAGAGCAAATACAGCTTTACAGTGTAATAGTAACATAAATGTACCTACAGCTGTGCCCCTACAGGTAACTCAAAAGTTTACTATGTGAGGGGGCTAGAGGTTTAGCTCAGCCGCATAAGCGCCTGCCTGCAAGCAGGCAGTCGTGAGTTCGATCCCCCTTATCGATAAAAAGGGAAAAGTCAAAAAAAAAGTTTACTGTGTGAAAAAAATACATATTAGATTGGAGATGTAAAAAATTTTTTTCACATAGTACTTTGTTGGCACAAGAGTTATTTGGAATTAGTTCAATTAGAACTGCTTGCATTAGAAAAAAAGCTGAAGCAAGTTAAGGTCACTGAAGAAATGGGAAATTTACGTGAAAGAGTGAAGAATTTACTCTTCGGCTCTTTTGATTGTTTTTTTGTGATCATATCGTAGTAAGGCGAGCTTATTCAGATTGTGGTGAATTTACCATTTTTAAGATAATGGAAATGTACTTCAGCTCTCCTAATAATTTTGTATTACTGTTTTGCATATTACACTTTACAAATCATTGGAAACCACAGAGGCTACTGTTGGTTGTATTTGCTACCTTCCCAAAATCACACACATACACACACCCCTTTTAAAATTTTTAGTGAGATATCATCTCAGATGCTGATAGCCAGGCTGGACTCAAACATGCTATCTTCCTGCCTCAGCTATTTACTAGCCTGAGATTTAATCTGGTCTACTTTATTAGGCATTTATGAAACTTTTGTCACTAAACGTTTTTCTTATCCCTTCAGGAACCCCGAAAGTTAAGTTATGCTGAAGTATGCCAGAAACCCCCTAAAGAGCCATCTCCAGTTCTTGTGCAGCCACTACAGGAACTTCGATCCAACACAGTATCTCCCACCAAGAACCAAGAGAATGGAGCTCCTGAGAAGTCCATTGAGAAACCACAGGAAAAGCCAGAAGCAAGGGCTAGTAAGGATTATTCTGGCTTCCGAGGCAGTACCATTCCCAGGGGAGCTGCTGGGAAAATCAGGGAACAGAGACGCCAGTTCAGCCATAGGGCTCTACCTCAGGGAGTGACTCGACGTAACGGCAAAGAACAATACGTGCCACCCAGATCACCAAAGTAAAAACAAAACAAACAAACAAAAAAACTACTCAAAAACTTTCTCTCTTCCCATTAAACTTGAGCCAAGGCTGTTTGAACTGCTTTGGAAGGGGGAGGGAGTAGCCAGGAAGGATATGAAAAATGTATCCTTAAATCAGTATGAATTTTGGAGTTATGAGCAATAGGGTCCCAAAATTCATCTCTAAAGTGATTTTTAAATGCTGGAGGATTCTAATCAGTATAAATATACATATATAAATATATATATATATATACACATAAAAATATAATTTTTCTATTTTTGTTTTGGATTTTAATTTGCAGAGATTTTCTGCCTGGAATCAATTTTGAGGGTTCAGATTTAACTTGGGGGAGAACCATACATCCTTCAGTATAGGAGGTGAGGGAACGAGAGAAAATATTTTTTGAAGAAGCATTTCTGTAAAAATTAGAAATTACTTTTTTTAATCTATTTAAAGTTTGGCTTCGAGAATGCCATTTCCAACTACATGGCCTTGTGTCACCAAGCAGATGGGTGACTGCGGTGTCCGTTGTGGGTTGGAGCGCGTGGGAGAGTGATTTCAGCCAAATCTGTTGTGAGAGTAAATGATTTGAAAACTGAATGTAATACTTGAGTAGGTTTTAGTTTGAAATTTCATTTGTCCTTCTGACTTTACTAATATTTCATTCAACAGGCTGTTAAAGCACTGATTATACTTGGAGATGTGACTACCAATCAGTTTGATACTCAAGGAAAGACTAAAGTTACTCAGAATAAATTTAAATTCACGTCCCCCCTCTTAAAATGGAAAAAATTTTATTTCATTTGTCATTCTATTCCTTGATTAGAAATTGATTGCCCATTCCCAGAAGCAAAATCACCAATCACCTTTGGATTATACATTTCTGACTGCTTTGACCAGTCTAATCAAATCATAGCTGTTGTAAATTTCAGAATTGAATGAAGTATTTTATCCTTCTGTTGTCATACTTAGAAATAATTGAAGAGAAAATTTTTAAAGGATTAGAGAACTTTTTTCTGTTTACAGTTTATTGCCTTCAGTTCCTTGTCAAAAAAAAAAAGTTTGTAATTCACCGAATCTGAAAAAGCAAAAAGTTGTGAGATAAGATGATTGAAGAAAATTAATGCATAATTTTTCAGTGAATGAAATTGTAGCTGTCATATCAACTAGGCAAGTTTACATGCTGGTATTTAGAAAATGACTAAAATATTAAAAATCATGTTATATCTATTTTAAGTCATACCATGTTCAGAGTTCTGTGTAGGGTGTGGTTATATTTTTTCTTTTAGGGATAGTTTGTAATAGTAAGAACTGTCCCTTATGTTAGTGACTTACATATGTACAAATTGAAACTGTAAATTGTGAACACTGGAAAGCACCATTGTGACATAGAATATAAACATCTTAGTAATATATTAAAACGAATGTAAAAGGAGGTTAAAATTACATTACTGTGAAATTCATCTTCCAATTCTAGTTTCAGCTTTGGAGATTTCTATTAGTGGGTAACTGTTAAAAGCTTTGAAAACACTGCACATTTCTGTTCAAGCCAGAATTGTTATTTATAACTTATTCAGCTTGGCAATTGCTTATGGTTTAGTGGATTGATAACATGGCGTAATATATTTACATAGTTTGAAAAATCTTCATTTCTACACACTATTTTTAAAAATCGTCTACTAGATGAAACAATAAAACTACCTGTGCTAAATTTTTGGAGTGTAGGCCTTTAAAAAACAATAATAATTGGCTACATCTATGATAAAAGCAATTTTGGTTTACTTAGATAATACTGCAGTTGGTGGAAATGATAAGCATTTAAAATGTTAACACCCTGTGAATGCATTGGATATAAGAGAATAAACTTTTTGTAAAAATCACTCGTAAAGATTATAAACTTAATTATTGCATTTGAAATGAAATTTTTTTTTCTGCAGTGTATCACAGGTTAGGCTCAACTTTCTTGTATGCTTGTGTGATTTATTGTTAGCCCACCAAGTTCTAAATTTCTAAAGATTCTGTTTTGTGTTTTGTTTTGTTTGTGGTGCTCGGGATCAAACAGACCCAGAGCCTTACCACATGCTAGCTAGCCAAGGGCTCTACCAGTGAACTATATATACCCCTGGTCCTAAAGATTATAACTAAAACACAAGAAAGGAGTTTCTTTGTGAAGGAAGTAAATATATACTTTTTCTCTAGACATTACTGAAAGTAGAAATTTAAAGACATGACCAGTTTTTAGTTTGTTCAAAATTTTAGTATTTTTAATATAACTTGCCTCATTATATGTTTTAGTTCCCATATGATGGGATGATATATAGGGAAGAGAGTGTGTGTGTGTGTGTGTGTGTGTGTGTGTGTAAAATATATATATTTACAATCTGCATTTAGTGTTTATTTTATTATAGCAGATTTAAGGTTTGTATCCAAAAGATGCCTGTGAGTTACGTGAAATTACTGACTTTTCCAGCATTACTGTCACAGGGTTAGTGTTCATTTTAGTTCAACTATTTATTGATTCTTTAGATGGTGGAATTTAAATGTCAGATTTTTCTCTTCACACTTACTACTCAACATTTTCTTGGGCTCTTGAAGCCTAAAAGTAGATAGAAATGATACTGATTATATGGTACGGTGACCTGCCATAGTTATTACTGCATGAAAAGTCACATTGTCTCATCACCTTGCACTTCAAAGAGAAGATACATAGAAGAAGGCATTGTAAAACCTGTCCCCACTTCTTTAAGGTTTTCACAATATCTAGAATCTGTCTGTAATCTAATAATCTTAGTTTTGCCAAATATAGCCATTTAAATTCTTTTTCAACTGGATTTTGAAGGAAGATAAGATCTTTCAGTGAAATGGGTTTGTCATCATTTATGCTTAATTTGCAGGTGATCAAATGACATGCAGAATCCTAATTTATTTTTGGTAAATAAGGCTAGTTTGGATATGTTTGACATTCCTTTTTCTTTTAAAATAACAAGATTTGCTTTAAAAAGGCTTAGTGATAGAATGTTGGCATCTTCACTAGTGTAAAGGAGAACAAGAATAATACTGTTAAAACAGAAAATAGTATTTAAAAATTACTGAACATTTTACTATCGTTAGTTATGGCCTTAATAATTAGTCTCTTGGCTTATATGTCCACTGGTTTTACCTTGAAACTACAACACTGGGGTTGTCTCTGATATTCGTGTTGGCAATATACATCAATCATATTTTTTAAAGTACCAGGTTGTTTTTAATAGAAAACATAAAACTCGAATGAGAGTAGTGTATTCCTTCTGAGGGATTTTTTATAAATTCTTAAATATAATACATGATGGGAGATTTTCTAATTTTTATATATCCTTAGCAATTTGATGGCCATTAATTTAACTTTTTGGTATATGCTAATATAGCTGGTCTGAGCTTTCAAGAAGACACATTTCCATTTTATTAGCTAAATGACATTTTAAAGAAGTGAGTTTTTTAAGTTGAGAATAAATTCTCCTTGGAAATTCACCTGATAACTTCAGGTGAAATTTTTATGAATCTTTAATTTAGATAGTTCCTAAAAGTACAACTTAGACAATTACTAGCAGCATATTTTATTTTCAGTTTTGCGATAGGACATTCATTAGTATATGGAAAAAATATCACCATCAGTTTTGGTTGTTTTTTTTTTTTTTTAATCTGAATCAAGTGTCTCAAGTGACACCTCTCAAATGTTGGGGTGTGGTGGATCAGAATCAGTTATTTGATTTCTATTTTATCCATTGCTTAGGTTTGTTTCTGTTTCAAAACTGTTCCCCACCCTGCCAATGGTATGACATATGCTCATGCATAAGATGTTAAAATGGGTACATCCTTGTATTTGTATGTTTCCAACATTGCCAAGGTGCTATGGGAAATTAACAAAATTAGAAAAAAATAAAATTATTAAAAAGCAGGACTGGTTTCCTTTTCTCCAAGATGTTGTACATCTAATGACTACTCATATTTACTTTTCAGTAATTTCATATATTACTGACTCTTTAGTTCTATCATCATTTTGGTTTCAGATGGGGTTTTTTATTGTTGTTTTGTTTTGGGGGGGAGATATTTGTGGAATAAGAACAGAGAAATACAAGAATCAGCTTTATGATTCTGAGGTTTTCTTACCGTTGTTGGAGGGAAAACAAATCAGGTTAATACGCAAATTAAAGATTTTTGTCTCCATAAGGGCAGATTATGGCCTGACTTGAGTATTTGAATATTAATACTTAGCTAAAGGGGTTTTAGAGCTTTGGGGTGGGAGGAACAGTACTGGGGATCAAACCCAAGGTCTTGCACCTGTGAGGCAAGTGCTTGACCCTGAGTTAAATTAAGCCCAAAGTTTTAGAGCACCTTAATGAATAAGTTCAAACTGCACAGCTTAAAGAGAATTTTAGTCCTTTTTTTTTTTTTTTTTCTTCCTTTTTAGCAGCTGTATTGATTGATTGTTGAGACAGTCTTGCTATGCTGTTTAGGCTGGCCTTGAATTCCCTTTGTGTAGCCCAGGCTGGCCTCAGCGATTCACAGTAATCCTCCTGCCTCAGCCTCCCAAGCGCTGATTCCAGGCATGTACTACATCATGGCCTTAATAGCTGTAAATTAATGTGACATCTCAACTTTGATACACTGCATTGCTGGGTAGATGTGGTGGTGCAGCACTGGAAAAGCTGAGGCAAGAGGATTGCTGCAAGTTTGAGCCCAGTGTTGGCAATGTAGTGAGTATGGACTACTGGAAATTACATGGCAAGACCTTGTCTCAAAAAAGAAACAAACTTTAAAAAATAGGAAGATACAGTGTTTCATGGATAGTATACCAATTTATTTTGATTGTCAAAAGTTTTTCATGGTAAAAATCTGTGTCTTTTAAATGTGGCCAGATTGCAAATTAAAGTGTAATTCTTAGGGCTATTCAGTGTTCTCTGAGGTGACTGTGCAGCTTAGAGATAGTGCTTGCCTAGAGGGTACAAGATACTGGGTTCAATGACCTGTATGTCTACTCCCCACCCCACTACATTTAGTGTTCTTTTAAAAAAAAAAAAGCAAAAACAAGTATTTAGTATTCTGAGTTGTGATATGATTATACACAACATTTAATGTGAGCATTTATTTCAATGACGGGTCATTCAGTAGTAGTCTTTAACCTGTCACTTTGCTAATAGGTGCTTGTTTCAATGAAGGTCACTAATACCAGCCTTAAAAGGGGCTTAAATGGCAAGAAACCTATAGAAACCTTTGTGTCATTGTTTATTTGGCCAAGAAAAGTTACTTAATTTAAATTTGTCATATCAGTAACTAGTATAATTACATATGTTTGTGAATTAACAGCCAAATTGGTAATCGGATCTACCTAGGCTCCATTGTATTTAAAACCAGTGGGCTCAGGGGTGGGGTTAGGGTTAGGTGTGAGGTTGTGAGCTTGATCCTCAGTACCAACAAAATGAACTCAACAAGAGATTCATCTCAGATGTCTGGTATTTAACTGCACCCTTGTTAGCACTAATCTAACTGTCATGGCTCCAAGTTTCAGTTCTGTATCTGGAGATCATTATGAAAAGTTCAACAAAGCCTAGTGTGGTGGCGCCTCCTATAGTCCCATTACTTGGGAGGCTGAGGCAGCAGGATCATAGCAAGTTTGAGACTAGCGTGAGCTACGAAGTTAAGTAGAAGGCCAGCCTGAACTGCGTAGTGAGACCTTGTCTCAAAATGACAAAAAGAGAAGTTTAACAGTAAATTATCAAAGAATTGTGAGGTATCTTAAATTTTAAAACTACCAAAATAACCTTTTTTTTAAGATAGGGTCACACTGCATAGCCCAGGCTGACCTTGACCTGGGCAGCATCCTCCCTCAGCCTCTTAAATGCTGGGATTGCAAAAATGTACCACCATGCTCAGCCCAAGAGGGTCTTTAGTTTTTATGCAAGTGCAAAGAAATGGATTGTTCATTTTCTATACTGTTGGCCAAGGAAGGACTTCCAGTTTCTTCTGATCTTGTAAGGAGCAAGTTATTTAATTTTTTTCTTCCTCCCAGTACTGGGGATTGAGTTCAAGGTCTTTGCAAGGAGCTACATCTGTAATCCTTTTATTTTACATTTTTGAGATAGGGTCTTGCTACATAGTACAGGCTATCCTTAAACTCAGCATCTTTCTACTTCAACTTCACAGAGTGCTGGGATTACAGAGGTATGCCACCATACCTAACTGAGATGTGCTTTCCTGTGTTCATTGTGTACCTATTTTGTTAAATTTAGTGAGTTATATAGTAGGACTGTGGCCCTCTACCTTTGCATAATGCACATTGTTACGTATCTTTACACACTATTTTGTTTGGTGCTGACTGGTGATGAAAACAGCCTGGGACGGGGCTGGGGATTTAGCTGAGCAGCATAAGTGCCTACCTTGCAAGCAGGCAGTCATGAGTTCGATCCCTGGTACTGACAAAAAGGAAAAAGACGAAAAAAAACCAGCCTGGCATATGCTAGACAAACTTTCTGTTAGCTAAATCCCACAGCCCAACACACATTTTTGGTTTTTCCAGTCTCACTATGTATTTCAGCCAGGCCTTGAACTTGTGAAGTCAAGGCTGGTTTTGCACTTGAGATTCTCCTGCCTCAGCCTTCTGAGTGGTTGGGTTACAGGTATGTAGCACCACACCTGAATGCACTTAGCATTTTGAATGTTAAACATCTTTCTTTGCTAAGTGAGGTGGCACATGCCTATAATCCCAACACTCCAGAGGCTGAGGCAGGAGAATCACCACAAGTTCAAGGCCTGCCTGAACTGCATAGACCCTGCTCAAGGGAAAAAGGAAAAAGAAAGTCAGTTAATTAGGTCGGGAAAGTCCCTGCACCTACAGGATAGAACATGTTACCTTACAAGACAAGGCCAAAGAAGTAAAAGCCAGGCTCCTGGGAGAAGTGTTCATCATGGTGAACATCTGAGAGTCCTGTTAGATTATGCTCAACAATGATATGGCTGAGACAAAGTGGAAGATTTGAGTAATGAGCACAATCAATACCTTGGTGAATTAGATGGAGAGCAAGGCATTTGAGCATGGTACTGTGTCCTTGTCCTAGCTACTCAACAGGCTAAGGTAGGAAGAGTCTTTGGGCCCCAGGAATTGAAGACCTACTTGGAAAACAGCAGACACATCACCCAGAGATGTTGTTACAGGAGGAAAGGGAGGCATAAAGGCTGGCTGAATTAATTCATGGCCTACAGAGTAGATGACTATTTGGACTATTTACCATAATCATATTCATTACAAAGAACCATTTTGGAGCTGGGCATAGTGATGCACTGCTATAATTCCAGCATTCAGGAGGCTGAGGCAGGAGGACTGTTAACAAGTTCAAGACCAACCTGGGCTACGAAATGAGCCCAAGGCCAGCCTAAACTGCATAGCAAGACTGTCATGAAAACAAAAAAAATTTTTTTTGCACGAAGAGATTTTGATTGAAATTTTGAAATGATTATTTCTACAAGATTCTCTGCCTCCTCTGGTACTGGAGATTGATCCAAGGGCATTCCACAGAGCTAAATCCATCCCTGATACTGGTGTTTTGAGATGATTGCTCATGAAGATGCCTCATGAGAGTTGTGATCCTGCTGCCTTACTCTTCCTCATTACTAGGATTACAGGCTTGCAATATTGTACCCAACTCCTGCTTGATTCATTTTTTTTCCATTTTTATTATGTGATTTTTTAAAAATTTTATTTGAGAAAAAAGAAAACAAAAAGGGTACAAGTTATACAGAATTTCAAAAAAACAGGAAATCACTAGTTAATTACATATTGTCATCTTAGAAATAGTTGTTCAAGTTACAAAATTAAAGCATATAGAGGGGACTTTCAAACAGTGAGACTGCAAACTTTTGTTCAATGATACAACAAAACTCAGTAATATGGTTATCTATCTTATACACTTAAATATATATGCAGTTATATCTTTTAGAGAACTTTCTTTTCCTTTCTTTTGTACAATGACAATTACACATTTTGGGTTTTATTACTCCCACAGTTCTTATTACTTTTTTTTTTCTTTTTTTTTCTTTTTCTTTTTTCTTTTTTTTTTTTTTTTTGAAGAAAGTAAAACCAAATGTGACATACCAGGACAGAGTCAGTCAAATCAAAATGATGGACATAATACATAATGTAAAAACAAAATACAAGGTGATCAACAATGGTTACCATAATACCTCTTGTTATCTTAAAAAGAATTGCCTATATCATCAGTTATAATAAAATTGAACAAAACAGTAAAGGATAAGACCAATAAAACCAAAACATTGGAGACATTAGAGGACTTCAAAAGAAGATAATAGTCAACCAGAATGGGCATCACAATGAATCTTACTGTCTTCATAGTTGTTGCCTATTTCAAACTTGGTACTATCAAGCATAACAGAATAGAGGAAACTCAGTCAAAACAAGATGGTGAGAGCAATACAGAGTTTCAAATCAAGTTAATAGGAAATCAAATGGGTTACTATAATATATCCTGCTATTTTTTATTTATTTTTCCCTTAATTCAAAGGATAAAAATGAAAAAGTAGATAATGAGATTGAGATAAAAGAAAAAAAAGAGGGCATAACAACAAAACAGCGCAGGTCAAAACATAGCCATTTAAGCAAAATAGTGTTTCACCACAAGATAATCTCGACATAATAGTAGTTACCATAGTGTCTCTTCCCTTAAAATCTTTGGGTATAACTTCGTATACTGTAGCATCAAACATATCAAGACAATGTAAAACCGTTCAAGAGAATGACAGTATTACAGGGTATTTAGAATCAACTAACAGAAAATGAACAATGGTTTCTGTATAATCTTGTCTATAAAAGTTTTTGTTTATATTATCACATATAATAAAATCCAATAAGATACAACATGTTAAAACCAATGGAAACAGAAGAAC